GGGCGCGGGGGGGCGTTGTACACGCGTGTGAGCAGCGAGCAGGGGCACACGTGTAAATGCACATGAATGAGATCTGGGACACGCTACACTCGTGTGTCTGCACATGGACATGCTATGGGACCTGCTATACATGTGTGTAAATGCACATGGGTGTGCAGTGGGACACGTCAAAAACATGTGCTTGGTATGTGGGGTGTTCACACCTGTGTGAGCACATGGGTGCCCCTCATGTACCCCTGGAAACCCCCCAGGGACCCCTTAGACCCCTCAATCTCCTTCTGGGGACCCCTCAGTCTCCTCCTGGCGACCCCCCAGTTTCCCCCCAGACCCCTTCTGACCCCTCAGGGACCCCCTAGACCCCTTTATCTCCCTCTGTGGACCCCCCAGACCACCTCTAGACCCCTCCTGACCCACTAATACGCCCTGGGGACCCCTCATACCTCCCACAGACCACTCCTGATCCCCCTGGGGGCCCCCAAGGTGCCCCCAGACCCTTCCTGTTCCCCATGGGGACCCCCATGACCTCCCAGTCTGCTGCTGGGGACCCTCCAGGGAGCACCCTGGGCCCCCAGTCTCCTCCTGGGGACCCTCCTGACCCCCCTGGGAAGCCCTCAGAGCCCCTTATCCCCCTCGGGCACCCCTCGGACCCCTCCTGACTCCCCAGTCTCCCCCAGAGGACCCTCCTAACCCCCTTCTCCCCTCTCTCCCAGCACCACCCGGGGCCCTGAAGCCAGAGATGCCCCTTGACCATGGCAGCCCCGGCGCCCCTTAAGATGCCAGCGGCGTCCCCGGCGCCTCCAGCGCCCATCCTGCTGCTGCTGCTGCTGCTCCTGGCGGCACCGGCGGTGCCGGGGGCCGCGCCCACACCCTGCCCGGCCGCCTGTACCTGCAGCAACCAGGCAAGCCGGGTGATCTGCACCCGGCGCGAGCTGCTGGAGGTGCCCTCGAGCATCTCAGTGAACACCCGCTACCTGAACCTGCAGGAGAACCACATCCAGGTGATCCGCACCGACACCTTCAAGCACCTGCGGCACCTGGAGATCCTGCAGCTCAGCCGCAACCTGGTCCGCAAGGTGGAGGTGGGCGCCTTCAACGGGCTGCCCAACCTCAACACCCTGGAGCTGTTCGACAACCGGCTCACCACGGTGCCAACACAGGCATTCGAGTACCTCTCCAAGCTGAGGGAGCTGTGGCTGAGGAACAACCCCATCGAGAGCATCCCATCCTACGCCTTCAACCGGGTGCCGTCGCTGCGGCGCCTCGACTTGGGCGAGCTGAAGCGTCTCGAGTACATCTCGGAGGCTGCCTTCGAGGGGCTGGTGAACCTGCGCTACCTCAACCTGGGCATGTGCAACCTCAAGGAGATCCCCAACCTCACCGCCCTGGTGAGGCTGGAGGAGCTGGAGCTGTCGGGGAACCGGCTGGGCCGGGTGCGCCCGGGGTCATTCCAGGGTCTGGGGAGCCTGAGGAAGCTGTGGTTGATGCACGCGCGGGTGGCGGCGGTAGAGAGGAACGCCTTTGATGACCTCAAGGCCCTGGAGGAGCTCAACTTGGCCCACAACGACCTGGCCTCGCTGCCCCACGACCTGTTCGCACCCTTGCACCGCCTGGAGCGCGTTCACCTCCACCACAACCCGTGGCGCTGCGACTGCGACGTGCTGTGGCTCAGCTGGTGGCTGCGGGAGACGGTGCCCAGCAACACCAGCTGCTGCGCCCGGTGCCACGCACCGCCGGCGCTGCGGGGCCGGTACCTGGGCGAGCTGGAGCCGGGCCACTTCACCTGCTACGCGCCCGTCATCGTGGAGCCGCCGGCTGATCTCAACGTCACCGAGGGCATGGCGGCCGAGCTCAAGTGCCGCACGGGCACAGCCATGACCTCGGTCAACTGGCTGACGCCCAACGGGACACTGATGACGCACGGCTCGTACCGGGTAAGGATCTCAGTGCTGCATGACGGCACACTCAACTTCACCAACGTGACGGTGCAGGACACGGGCCAGTACACCTGCATGGTCACCAATGCCGCCGGCAACACCACGGCCTCGGCCACGCTCAACGTCTCGGCTGCCGACGCCGCTGCTGCTGCCGCTGCCGCTGCAGCGGCGGCCACAGGCTATACCTACTTCACCACGGTCACTGTGGAGACCACCGAGGGCGGCGGCGAAGAACAAGCCCCCCAGACCCCGCCAGCGCCCACGGCACCTGGATGGGACCCCTCTGGTGGCTCCACGGCGGCACCGGCCACGCGTGCCACAGGGAAGCCCTTCACGGTGCCCATCACTGCCGCTGCCGCTGCAGGCGCTGGGGCGGCAGGCGGAGGTCTCCAAGACCTGGACGACGTTCTGAAGACCACCAAGATCATCATCGGGTGCTTCGTGGCCATCACCTTCATGGCGGCCGTGATGCTGGTGGCCTTCTACAAGCTGCGCAAGCAGCACCAGCGCCACAAGCACCGTGGGGGCCCCGCGCGTGCCGTGGAGATCGTCAATGTTGAGGACGAGCTCTCGGGGGGGCCTGGTGGGGGCGGGGGGGGTGTTGGGGGCACGGCGGGGGGGGTGGGGACATCAGGGGACAACAGGCTGGCGCTGCCAGCGCTGGAGAGAGAGCACCTGGACAGGTACGCAGCGCTGGCTGCCCACTACGGGGGCCCGGCAGCGGCACTGGGGTGCGGGAAGACCCCCCTGCTCAACTCGGTGCATGAGCCACTGCTGTTCAAGAGCCCCTCCAAGGAGAATGTGCAGGAGACCCAGATTTGACCGCTCCCCCCCCAAAAAAATGAGGGGTGGGGACCCCCTTCTCCTGCACAGAGACTCAGATCTGACCCCCCCGGAAAGGGGGAATGGGGACCCCCTCCTAGACCTAGACTTGACCCCCCTGAAATGAGGGGAACAGGACCCCCCCCTCCTGCCCAGAGGCTTGGATCTGACCCCCCCAGAAAGGGGGAACGGGGACTCTCTAAACATGGACTTGACGACCCCTGAAATGAGAAGGTGTGGGGACCCCACAGACCTGGACCTGACCTCCTGAAATGGGGGAACAGGGACAATCCTCTTGACCTGTGGACTGGGATGTGACCCCGCCCCAAAATGAGGGGCATGGAGACCCTCCCCCTAAACCCCAGACTTGGACCTGAACCCCCTGAAAAAGGGGAGAGTGCCCGTCCCCCCCCCAGCCTGGACTTGACACCCTGAAATTGCGGGGAAAAAGGGACCCCCCTAAACCTGGACTTGACCCCCCTGGAAAGAGGGGGAGTGGGGACCCCCCTTAAACCTGGATCTGACCCCCTACAAACCCCTCCTGTTCCAGAGCCCCTCCAAGGAAAATGTGCAGGAGACCCAGAACTGACCCCCCCCAAAAGAAAATGAGGAGTGGGGCCCCTCTTCTCCTGCCCAGAGACTCGGATCTAACCCCCCCCAAAAAGGGAGGGAACAGGGACCCCCATAAACCACAGACGTGAATCTGACCCCCACAAAGTGGGGGGGAGCGTGGGGACCCCCTCACACCACAGACCTGGATCTGACTCCTCTGAAATTAGGGAGTGGGGACACCCCCCCAAACTTATGAACCTGGATCTTACACACATCCCCCCCCTCAAAACTAGGGACAGAGGAACCCCCCGGAACCACAGACCTGGATCTGACCACCCCAAAACAGGGTGAGGAGTATGGGGACCCCCCCCGCCTCAAACTTAAATCTGACCCTCCCTTCCCAAACAGGGGGCACACAGGGGGATCCCATAGACCCAGCTCTGACCCCCCAAGAGGAGGGGGGGCATCAGAACCCTCCCCCCAAAAAATCCCACCCCGTGGTTCCCACCTGCCCATTTTTTCGGGGGGAGGGGGAGAATTGGGGGGCAGGTTTAGGGGAGGGAGGGGCAGATTTTGAGAGGGGAACATGGACTTGGGGGGAGGACTTGTGTG